CTGAAGACACCAGCCTGAAGATGACGAATGTGACTTCGTCGAAACGTCGCCAAGGTACTTTTAATTCTACGCGGGAGAAAACCCGAATAACTAAAGACCTACATATATATATATATATATATATATATATATATATATATATATATATATATATATATATATATATATATATATATATATATATATATATATATATATAATGTATTTTCAATACATAATACCCCTTCCCCATAGGATAGTTATCATCTTCCGTCTGTTCAATATTCATAATCTTTGAGATAGGCTGGGGGCCCAAGGATCCTGGTGGACCACCACAGTGTTACTGGAGAGTCCTGTTCAAGTGGAGTATTATCCAACTCCAGTTGAACAGACTCGTGATGGCCGTTTAGGTCGCCCGTGAGTGGCGGTGGCTCTACAGCTCTTCGTACCTCTGTTTCCCCAGAGGTGGCCACAGATGGTGTAGCAAACCGGGGGAAAACAATTCTCTTGTGTGCCTGATAAAACTTTGGGATCCTCACCCGGGACTGGCCCGGCCTGCGACCGCCGTAACTGATCAATATGGCATCTGACCATGCGATCATTTTCCAGAATAACCTCATATGACAAGGGCCCTGTTATCTTTGTCACCCTAGCTGCCACCCAAGGTGCCCCACTTCCATAGTTCTTGGCCCAGACCAATTCACCCAGCTGTAAGTTCCTGGGGGTCTTTGGTTGAGCCATCTCTGCTGCTACTCTGTCTGGGTGAAGTCGGTCGAGCTTTGTGGTGAGCCTCTGCTGGCTGCGACCTGTTGCTGTACTGGGAGTTGTGTGTTGACACAGGAGGAAGTTCACCAGGTGGTGATTCTAGTCTCCAGTTGTCATCCGCTTCAGTGCCTCCTTTGTGGTCCTGACCATTCGTTCGGGGTGGAATGGAGTGGATGTTACATGCCAAATCATGTCGTCATTGAGGAAAGATTGAAACTCTCCTGCCATGAATTGTGCCCCATTGATGGACACGATTACATCTGGCAGACCATGTTTGGCGAACAACTGGCGCAACTCTTGGATGACCTTGGTTGTTGTCATTGATGAGACCGGTGCTACTTCCAACCACTTGGAATAACTGTCTACTACAATTAAGAACACCTGCCCTTGGAAGGGGCCTGCAAAGTCAATGTGCATGCAAGACCATGGGGCGTGTATGTTCTCCCAGTGGTGCACTGGTGCTTGTGTCATCTCAGTCGGGTTTCTTGGCAGGCCTGGCAACTCCTTACTTGATTCTCAATGTCCTTGTCCAGGCCTGGCCACCACAAGTAGCTCCTGGCTAGAGCCTTCATTCGAACAATTCCTGGGTGCCCCTCGTGTAAGGAATCCAGCACCCTGGAGCAAAGACTGGGTGGAATGATGACCCTGCTGTCCCACAGCACACATCCCTTGTGGGCCGACAATTCATTTTTCTGAGAAACGTAGTGATGGAACTCAGGGCATAGCCGGGTCTCTGGCATCCCCTTAACACCCATTTGAGAACACGGCTAAGCATTCTGTCCGTGGTGGTTTCAGCTGCAAAGTCCCCTGCATGTAGGGGTGCTTCAGGCAGATCCTGGATCGCCAGGATACAACAAGCTGGGTCTGGGTCTGGATCAGTCTGCGGTAGAGGCAGTCAGCTGAGAGCATCGGCGTGGTCCATTTCCTTACCCGGCTTGTGGACTAGCTGGTACGAGTATGCAGCCATGAAAATGGACCATTGTAGCATTCGCGGCGACAGGATCTGCGGTGTCTGTTTGTCTGCTGTGAAGAGACTAAGCAGAGGTTTGTGGTCTGTAAAGATGGTGAAGATATAAGAAGTCGTGGAACTTCTTAATGCCAGCCACTATGGCAAGGGCTTCCTTGTCTATCTGGGCATAGTTCCTTTCAGCCGATAATAACGTTCTAGAATAGTATGTGATGGGGGCTCTCAACCATCTGGCATCCTGTGGCTTAGTACTGCCCCAATGCCATATGGCGAAGCATCACAGGCTAGTGTTACTGGTAGGTTTTCGTTGAAATGAGCTAGGACAGAGTCTGAGGATAGCAATGATTTTACCGCCTTGAACGCTTTTTCTTAGGTGCTCGACCAGACCCAGGGCATTTTTTTTGTCCAGTAGGCAGTGTAACAGTTCTGCCAGGGCAGCCTTATGCGGTAAGAATGAGTGGTAAAAATTGAGCAAGCCCAGGAATGCTTGTAGCTCCCCCTTGGATTTTGGTGTGGGGGATTGCTAAATTGGGTGGATTCCGGCAACATCGATGTGGAAACCCGGGAATTCTGTGGATTCCATGCCAATCTGGCACTTTTCCTTCTTGAGTTTTAGGCCTGCCTTGCGGAAACGTTGGAGTAATGCATGGAGACATTCCGCCAGACTGCTGCGGATTCCCCCGCGATCAGGACATCATCAAAATATGGGCAGACGCTGGGAATGTTCTTCAATGTTCGTTCCATAATACTTTGGAACAACCCTGATGCTACGCTTACCCCAAACTGCAAGCGGCGCACTTGGAATGCACCTCTGTGTGTGATGATTGTTTGTGCTTCTGTGATAACATCATCTACCGGTAGCTGCTGGTAAGCCTGGGTGAGGTCTAACTTAGCGAAGATTCGGCCTTCCTGGAGCAAAGCGAGGATGTGGCTCACTACTGGTACAGGGTAAGCATGTTGCTGTAGTGCCTTGTTTATGGTGTAGTCTGTGCAGATGTGGATGTCCCCATTAGGCTTAACTGGGGTCACTATTGGAGTCTCCCACTGGCTACAGTCCACTGGTTGGAGCACTCCATGCTGTATCAGCTTGTCTAGTTCCACATCAATTTTTGGCTTCAATGCAAAAGGACCCTGTGCGGTTTTAATTGGATTGGAGTTACTGCTGGATCAAGGTTGAGTGAAATGGGTGCCCCTTTGTATTGTCCCAACTCTGTGCTGAATACGTCAGCATATTGTTGCCATACTACTGCTAGATCAGCTATTTGTGTTCAATGGATGCCCATCATCCTGATGCCCAGGGCCTCAAACTAGTCCAGTCCTATGAGTTTGGTGTGCTGTCCCTTTATGACCACTATGCTGGGGGGACCCTCAAACTCTCTCAATTGTACTCTAATGGTAGCTTCCCCCCTTACGGGAACATGGCAATTCTGGAAGTCCATTAGCACTAAGCTTGATGATTTGAGCGGGACCCGCCATTGGCTACATTTGCAAATGTGGTCAAAAGTCCTGGAGGAGATAATGGACAGGGCCGATCCAGTATATAGCTCCATGGAGCATGGGACCCCTTGCAGTCTTAGTTGGAGTCTTATCTTTTCTTTGATGGAACGTTGGGCCCCTGTGCGTTGAATGCTACGCCTTCCTGAGCAGTATTCAACTCTGTTCTGTCCTGGGGTCCATTTCCCCTTGTGCTGCTGTGTTGCAGGTTTCGTTTCCCACTGACGACCTCTGCAAACTCTGGCAAGGTGCCCTTGCTTTCCACAGGCACAGCATACTGCTGTGCGGAATCTGCACTCTGCTCTTTCATGCTGTCCCCCGTAGCTTGTGCAATTCTGTGGGGAAGTTGATTGCTCTGTGGAGTGTGGCCATCTGGGTGGCTCTCTCCACAAACGATCAATTTCGTCACCCTTACTGGCCTCCCCCGAGCCTTCTGCAGTCTCTTGGTGGCCGGAGAGTCTTCATTGCCCCTCTGGCAGCCTTTTCCGCCATGACTTCCTTCAATGCATCTTGGAAAGTCAGTTTCTCCATGGTGAATAGGTGCTGCTGTAATTCTCTATTATGCAGGCCGCAAATGAGCCTGTCTCTGAGACAGTCTTCCAGGTCAGGGAACTTGCATTTGCACGAAGCTTGGCGAAGGGCTGCCACAAACTCTGTTGCAGATTTCCCGGATCGCTGCTCACGTTGCTCAAATGCATGGCGCCAGGCGATCACTGAGAGTTTCATCTCAAAATGTTCCCTTAATTTTTTCTTGAGGTCTGCGTAGGCCACAGTCTCTATACTTGCCGGTGCTATCAGGTTTTCAGTGATATCAAACATGGCTTGTCCACAGACACATAGTAAGGTTGCTGCCTTCAGGCTATCGTCTATGATCTGGTTAGCCCGGAGATAGTTGTCTACTCGGGAAGCATATGAGCTCCACTATTCCAGATGAGTAATATCGAACTCATTGAGCCTTCCCAATTTAGCCATTTTGGGAGGCCCCTGTGGTGCTGGTTAATGCCTGTACTGCTGCGGTTGGAGCTGTGCTGCACTTTGGGATCCTGGGGAAAGATCCCTCAGGTCTCTGTGCCTCCAGTATGTCTTACTGGCAGGCAGGGCAGGGAGCGTGGTTCCACCAAAGCTCTTTACCTGGTCTGACACCCAGTGATTTCAGTGTGCCTCCAGTGTGGCTTACTGGTAGGTGGTGGTGGGGGTGAGAACTAGGCCTGCCAGGGCTCTTTACCCAGCCTATCACCCAGTGACTTCAGTCTCTTGGTTAGAAGCAGATTACAGTCAGTAGTTCTGAGATCACACCTGCCAGTTCCTTTAGCACCCTGAGACTATATTCACTCACAGCAGCTAAACCTTCTGTCACCAGTTCCTTACCTATTTTAATCACTCTTTCCCTTCTGCCGTCCCTCTCTGCCCTTTCTCCCTGTATAGCTTCTGACAGAATCCCCTTTTTGCTATTTTTGGCATTCATGATAAGCCTCAGATTATCCATAGGCTTCCTGAGCCATCTTTAATATTTCAAAATGGCCTGCATGGTTTATTACTTGATTACATGGATCTCCTTATATAAGGCGTTAATGCTTAAACCCTCTGAGGAATGATAGTGGAATCTAATTATCTGCATGAGCCAAGGAACAGTGGATCATATGCACTGAGTGGATCTGGTTAAGAAAAGAAATCCACTTAAAATCGAAATTTGAGAAAACATCTTGTACTCACTTGACCAATCCAGCACTTTGACCTCGTGAAATGGCGGAATCATACTGAGTTTGAGCAGCCTGTTTCTCCTTGATTATTCCAGGGTATGTTTCTCCATCTATGGTCCTTCAAAATAGATGTTTCAAAGAATTCATAAAGGTCCAGAAATAGAAAAGGGAAACCCACTGATAGTAAGGTATTTTATGAAGTGAAAGAAAATAAAACCCTACATTACTGGATTGAATATAATTTCAGTTTCATTTTAATCACAATTTCATGTTCATGGGAAATATTAATTGGGGGGGGGGGAGTTTGCATTGTCTTTCTTTATCAATGTAATTATTTCTTATCCAGTTCAATCAATTGTGGAAGTAGGGTTGTACAGATAACACCATTGCTGAATAATTCTTGTGATTACATTTTAATCAATCAGGTTTATTTTGCTTTGAGTGAAAAGTGTCTTCCAGATGAGGTTTGCAGTCAATGGTTTCAACTGTTCTGAAAATCTTTCCCAGTTTTACATAGGTATAACTTCATGGTTTGTTTTTACAGTAATTTGATCTGTATTTGTGGTTTTAATCCAAGATTATATATTTGGGGAGTTGTATGCTACTCCAGATTTGATAATGGGAATGTCTTATAAACCTCAAAAAATGAGTAAATAAAGTTCAAATCTGTCTTATCATTTCAGATGTTGAGCCCTACTTTAGTGCTTACATGCTGAAGTTTGTGATGAAGGCTTTCTTGGGTAGTTCCACATCGAAAACAGCCTCCTTAGATTCATTTCCCCTGTTGACAATTCTGCTGGTGATCACTGTGTGGGCATACCGCGACATAACTTTGCAGTCAATGTGCAGGCTGTAGATTTCAATGGCATTCTAGGGAAAGAAGAGAGAAAGCTTCTATCAGTTTCTTTGCTGGAGATTGTTACCAACAATAGAACGAAGACTAAAAGTATTAGTAGCAAACACCAGACAGAGTCATTTTTATAATAAACAGACATAAGTTAATTTTTGATATGATAATTTGCTGTAATAAAAATGCAAGATTGTTCTTTTAAATTATTAAACTGTTTGATATTGTTTAAATATATATTATATAAAACACCTATATGCTACTAAAACTCTTGTTATGACCTTTACCTGAGTGAAATGGTGAATTATAAGGCAATAGTTTTTGAACCAAGCTTCTTCAAAACAGTTAATTGACAAAATGCATCTAATGGAATGAATTTTGAGGAAGTTAGGGCGCTTCAGTGCTGCAGGCAGGCAGGCAGATAATGAAAGAGAAGGAGGAAATGAGGGAATGAGGGAGTGAGGGAGGAAGGAAGGAAGGAAGGAAGGAAGGAAGGAAGGAAGGAAGGAAGGAAGGGATATTCCAATGAGACATGGGTTGTCTAATGTTATAAAAAATATGACACTTTGTTGAAAAAATTGCTATTGTAAGAACTTGATTTAGTTTGCTGTGCGCAGCCTACCAACAGCCACCTCCCAATTCTGACATGTTCAGAAGTGCAGAATTTTTTCTGGTACCCATGGAAGAAAATTCCATAAATATCTGCATCTTCCTAAAAGAACATCTACCCATCCCTGCCCCCATCCTTCAAAATGGGTTGCTCTGTCCTGATATCCTAAATCAGCCACAAGGGACATCCTTATCTTGTTCTTACTTAAGACATGGGCCTTCCCTGCATCTCTGCACTTATATTTGCATTTTGTATTTGTCCTAAACAATAAAGAATAAAATAAGTAATCAAGATTGATGTTTGGCAGACTGTTAAGGCAAAAATGTGTTACAGGATGCAAGGGGAAAAGGACTCAATTGTTTGCTCAGCATAGCATTCATATCTTCGATATGTTCTCAGGACATGGCTGGCTGCCTTTGGCACATGAACCGCCTGAAGGTCTCCCTGCTCAGCAACTTTTAAATAGCCAGATATTTCCCACTCATGTTTACAGAATAGATTAGAATAGGATTCTAAAAGTGTAGAATATTGTAATAGTGTACAGGTAATCTTCGACTTACAACCACAATTGGGACTGGAATTTCAGTTGCTGAGTGATGCAGTCATTAAAGGAGTTATCACATAACCAGATGCGATTTTACAGCCATTTTTACCACAGTCATTAAGCAAATCTGGCTTCCCCCTTTGACTTCGGTTGTTGTTGAAAAGTGGCTAGGAAGGTCACAAATTGTAACCTTGTGATCCTGGAATGGTGCAATAGTGACCATTTCAAGGACAGATCATAAGTCACTTTTTTCAGCACCATCATAACTCTAACCATCTTTAAATGAATAGTTGTAAGTTGAAGACTCCCTGTACAGAGTCTGAACTGAGTCTCTTTTAGAAAGTTAAAATCTTATTGATGAATTCATTTCCCTTTTCCTTAAACAACTTGTTTAAAAAATAAAGATTGATTTAACAATTGATATTTCTTTAGAAGTCATAATTGGCTTAAAG